TGGGTTACCATTCACCGCAAAATACAAGCAATGACGAAGAAACTCAACAAAAATTACACAAATGTCAAGCACGATCACCCACCACTATCAAACCAACGACCACCAAGAGCCATTCTTGGCACGATAACGATTCCACTCCCTTTATAAAAATGGAACCCTACGGAGATTACAATGACAATAATTGGCAAGAGTTTAGACGACGGATGGACCACCAAGGTACGCGCAAATATTTCTTTAATTTTCCCTATTGGACCCCCTCTTGATCATCTCGTGGTTCTCGCCCTGACCCATATTTATCACACTCGCAGACGAATCTCATTCCGCCGTCGGCCAACCTTTCTATGCCTCTCAGCCTATGACAATCTATCCAATCGACTATGCAACTCAAGCCGGCAGTAATAATGGTATGTCCGAATTATCACCATTAGACTAGGCACGAACAAGGCCGACTGACGTGTACTTTTAGCACAATATTCGGATTGGCAAGCGGCCATGAATGATCTGGTTCAGCCCCCGATGGGATCCCCGTACCACGCCTCTTATTCGCCAGGCAAGTCTCTACACCGCCTCTCGAGCTGACAAACGCTCGAGAAACGCTCGTCAAAAATTTTTCTTTATGCTGATGACTCATGTCTAGGTTATGGACAAGTACCATCTCAAGGATTATCTCCTCAATGGCACGCACAGCAACACCAGCATCAGCACCAACCATCGTCTCGGCCGACTTCACAGTCATACGGTACCTCGCCGGTATACTCGATCTTTGGCAATGTACCCTCATCGTACAACTCGGATAACTCTGACATGGAGTGGTCACAAGACAACAATGCGGGCTCTGGCCAAGGACCCGACGCCTCTGCATTTTCGTCGGTCACGGCCCGCCGCGCCCACGTCGTCGAATGGATCTCCAAGACCAACCTCACCCCCGTTCAAGTCCAAATCGCCCAGTCCATCATCTCGTCCAAGTGGTGGGAAAAGGAGGACCCAGAGCCCGAGCTCCGGCCGGACGACCCGCTCATCACCTCCAAGTTGATCAACGTCGTAGGTGGTAGTAGATTCAAGGCGTTCTTGGATGAGGATAATGGGTACAAGTGCACTTTTGATCACGATGGTGTACCGTGCCACCACGGCAAGGGTAGAACAGAGCGAGCGCTGGGGACCGTTCGTGGTTTCTTTAGATACAAGCCCGTCATGTGCAATGGTTCATGTGGATCCAGATGGTGAGTGGAATTTCATCTCTCTATACATGGGGGCTAACATCTGAGCAGCATGCAACGCTTCGTGTCTGTAGAGCAGTGTCAGAAGCACGTCCAAAAGAAGCGATCTGGCCGTGCTGCCTGCCCTGATTGGTACGTTTAATTTCCTCTCCGCCGATCGGCTTCTCTTTTACTGACGTAACCCCCTTGCGTAGTGGCTCTGCCATCTTGCCGGCCAACATGAGTCGTCACCGACGTGCCTGCCACTCCAACGACGGCGGTGCCAGTTCTCGACCATGAATGGCCTGTGGATTAATGTAGCGATGGAGAGGCCATCTTGTTGGGGTTGCACATTCCGTTGCTGGACAAGGGCGTCAAAGATCTCAGTGTCATGGGTTACCATTCACCGCAAAATACAAGCAATGACGAAGAAACTCAACAAAAATTACACAAATGTCAAGCACGATCA